GAGTTTTTTTTTATATTAAAATAACATATTGTATGTTATATACCAGGTTTATTTCAGTTCTTACCTAGGCTCAATAATTTTCCTCCTGGAAGTGTCCAAAGAACCACAAAAGCAACTAAATTTAAAGGAACTCCAGTGATAAATCCCATACTAGCTGTTGGTTTGTGTTGTCAAAGGTGATTTTTTTTTTTTTTACAGCATGGTGGTGTCATATTCACCCCCATCAAAAATGAGCAGAAGAAATTACTTCTGTGTTCACACACCTCAATTTCAATTCTTAACTTTCTGGAATATACACACAAAGATTGCATGAAGCGTAATTAACAGCACAATCTGTATAATGTTGACATGATAATAGCTCACAGCTTTTATCAGTGCCTCTCAAGTGTCCAGAAAAAAATGCAAATTTACCATAATTATCTTTTAGTTCCAGGGAGTCTGTTTTCTCACTGGGGTATGAAAGTGTGCTCAACAGAAGGGTGTTACTTAAGAGTAATGTTTTGCATAATAAATGTTGCAAAGAACCAATAATGAGTCCTGACACAAAATATACTAATAGCAAACAAACTGTCCAAGGTTTACCACTTATAAGAAGTATATCTTTTGCAAATGCTTTTATGTATTCACGTTTTCAGATTTTCAAGTCCGAGGGCATGGTTACCGACCACACAAAAGATGGACTGCTGCCTCCACATATAAGGCCAATCTCTGCTGCAGGTGGAAAAGTTCAATAACTATGGTGTTGTGTAAACGCAGAGAGGCCTTTTTAAGTGTAACCAGAGTTGCAAGGGAATTTAGGTATAGACATTGACTGTCAGTCTAACTGAATAGAGTTTGGCCCGAACCATTCCATTATAGATCATACTTTATTTTAAGGCTCATCCTGTTGGAAGGTCAGACTCTAACCCAGATTAAAGTTGAACAGCATTTGACAGGTGATTCAGCTGATCAGCATCCCTATTCCTGCTCAGTAAGAAAACTCCCCATACTTATCTTAGGAAAGCTTTAGCATGATTTCTGTTCCTCCAACATCATTGGAGGCTGTCTTTATTAGGGACTTGTAATGGCTTTCTTTCAGTAATACATTTCTTCTTCCCCCACTTTGACTTGGGATAAAGGATTTTTCTTGAACCCACTTAATTCAACTTTGTTTACTTTGTGAACGCCTTACTAACATTTCCTTGTTGCAACAAAGGTTATACTTTAAGAATCAGCATTTTGCAAACAAGAATCCAATCCTACATCCCAAGTTTTGCTGTGTCTTCTGGGGCATTGAGAGCAGTTTGTCTGCTTCACTCTACGTTTCCAAGTTTTTGTTTGGCTGGAGCCAACATGTAGTCTTTCCAGTAGAGTTATTTGCATGAGAAAACATTTGATGACTGGCATTCACTGGTCTGGCTGCCTTTCTCTTGCTCAGGAAAGCAGCAAGCCAAGAATGGTTCTGGGTTTATTCGTTTTCAGCATCATACAGTAGTGTGACGTGTTATTTTTGGTAGGCTATATGTATTGTCTGCACTACTATGTTATCTTTGAAGGAAAATTAAAAAGAAAAAAAAACGTTTTTTTGCAATTCATTCAGAGACTCCAATTTGACCAACATTTAAATTTTTCCAAGACCTTAATGGTTATCTAAATTAGTAAAACTGAAACCTGGAAGCAGATGCAGAAGTAGCAGAAGTTTCAGATAGCTAAATCCTCAACTAAAATGTTTTTAACCTGCTGTTAAGTAAGTTGAGGGCAACAAGATTTTTTTTTTATTTCATAATGCAAATGAAGTTAAGTAACAGGCTCAGATGTATAAAATGGGCCATAGGGTCACTACTGAGGCAATAGGGGTATGTTAGTCACTGGCTCTGACCTCTGTCTGCTTTTAGTTAATTGTTGGTTTGCCAATCAATTTGTTTTTGTGAGAGGTTTTGATTGGAAACAATGAAAAAACAATCCAGTCCATTCCCTAAGAATATTTTCAATCATATTACAAATTCTCAGTTCATTTGAACTAATGTTTTGCAAAAATATTTACCCCAAAGTGATGTTTTGTTTGGCTTTTTCTTTTAAATCAAGTGTTGGACTCTTAAAACACCCCCATCTACGCTTGATATGTACAGTACATTTGAAATGAGTTGTCAGTAACATCACTGTAGACAATCCCTCTGGGCTTTCAGGGGGTTCTACTATTCTGTTCACACTGTTAAATCTTTACCTCAGGGTTAAAAACATACAATTACATCAACACAAACACATTTATTTCAATACATATGCTAAACCACACCCTCACACATATACACACCTACGCACTAAAACACAATCATCCTAAATCGTTGAAGGTCATACAAGAACAGGCTACAATAACATTACTGTTCTGTATACTTTGTTACTTGACCGAATATGTGTTTAATAAAGTTAGGATACTGTCTTGAGATATCATTTTTGTAGAGAAAAACTGCTCAGGCACATGAGGGCAACTACATGTCCCATTTGGTATTCCTGAATTGCATACAGACAGAGACAGAGCGGACTGTACTTTTTGAAAAAAACTAATTTAATTACTTAAATAAGCTTTACAAAGTTATAAAATAAAAACTGACTATTATGGGAACCATTCTGAAACCTCTGAAGATAACTTTA